CAAAACTGAACCTTATCCTCCTTCCGCAACTGATCGTACTTTGCAACCAGTTCAGGAGGGTGATAGTACTTACAACGCGAACCGCGAAAGCAAACGTTGTTCAAGAAATCTCGACAAACGTTCCTGTCGTCTGTCTTTCCCGTTGTTGCTACCGACACTTCCTCTTGTTGTTGCCGCGGTTGCTGCTCCTGCTGTTGTTGTTTCACAGATCCCGCAACAACGTTTTCTACGCCATTTGCTTCCAGTGACATCTTGATGCCTTCAGCTAGGACGTTACGCAACACAAGTATTAATTCACACTGCTTTACATGTGACATTTTAAATGACTCCCTCTGTTAGTACTGTAAACTGTACCTGCTGATTTGGTTCCTGTTCTAAATTACTGATTGAACGAAATGTTAGAATTTTGAAAGTACTGTTTGAATTAAATAAACAATGAACGTGCACACGTTCAGTGAAAAACTTTTTATTCCGAAAGTATAAATAAATAAGAAAATTAGTTCAATCTGGAACGATTCTGACGAAAAAATATGTGCTCTCAGCATCTTCATAGACTCCTTTGCTGCAATAAGTTTTAGACTGTCTGATAGTTCCTGCCGATCGACTCTAGGCTGACCTCAGTGATTTTCCCCAAGCAATAAAGATTAGCTACATACTAACAAATGCTGATTCTAGATTCATGACATCAAGGATCGAGTCCAAAATATTGAAAAACCCACCATAATCGACATCGAAATTAGGCTTATACATTGTGCTGATTTCAATGGATATTCATCTATCAGACAAATCAAGGCGAAATGCAAACAAAAAAAGCGCTCCTGTCAATCGTATAGCTGGATACTTCAACTCTTCTGGCATGAACAGATCAAAATACCACACAACACTAAAAAGAATAATACCTTATTAAAACGGCAAAAATTCACAATTTAAGGAAAGAAAAGTATATTTCTCATTTTACACCAGCAGCACAATTGCGCCACTCCTTTACTTTCAGAAGCTATGGGGACTATTTAAGCTGGCCATTGCTCCGTGGCATTTAAACGCATGCAGTGCAAAAGACGCAGGTCTGCGTCTCAAAGTAGAGTTGGACTAAAAGATATTTAACCAGGATTGCCACGATATCTAGGTGACACAAAATGTAACACGGATTTTCTTGGGGACTTTTCGATACTGTCGCCGAAAATATCACATAAAAAATAATGATACCGGCTTGAAACA